AGGAAATGAAGTGTGCACACCCTTGTTAAAAAAAAAAAAAAAAAAAGGCAAAAAAAGCTGTTGTATTTATAGGCAGAGCAATGGCATATCACACACTGGCAGAGTGAATGGGAACATGCCTCCTGTTATTGCATGGCCCCTGGGGAGATAACAGTGTGCTATTTACTTCCAGCAAAAAGAATTCTTGCTTTAGCTCAGCTGGTCCTGTTACACCAGTTTGAGTGTATAGGGTTCATTGACCTTTTTAATCATATAGATGTTGGGAAAGGTTTTGTTTCCCCCAGGAGCAATACAGTTGGCTTGGGAAAGCACCTGACTTGTCACTCTGGAGGGGTTAGGTGGGGCAGCAGGTCATCAGTCTGTTAGCTTGAGGAGATGAAAATTAACCTAAGATCTCCTCTAATCAGCGCAGGTAATGATCACTGGTGTGTAAACATGTTTGGCTTCATTATCTGCACAAGCACTGAGCCTTGGGGGTTTTCTGTATTGATGAAAAGAGAGCCTTTCCTCACCCAGATACCTTTCAGAGTAGGTTGTGTGCTTGTTGGTCTTGTGCAAACCTTTCATGTTGTTGCTGGGTAGCTTCCTGATTAATCAGAGTGGTATTTGTGCTGGCTTCTCATCAGGAATGCCATGAAAGATATGTTTGAGTGCAGTGCCCAGCAATATACAGAATGCATAAGCTGCCTGTTTGTCAGCCATCCCGACCTCTCATTGCCTCAGTGTTCTCAAGGTGCTTTAAAACATTTTAAGCATGTCCTGAGTTAAAATGTTTCTCATCCTTAGATATCTCAACACCAGGTTCTCTGCATGACTGTCATAGTTTCTGTCAAGGCTTTTTCTGAGGAGTTTGCATCCCCAGTTGGTCATTGTGGTATCTCTCAGCAATATCTGCCCATGTGCCTTGTTTACTGCTGGGGGATTGTTGATAAGCACAAGCTGGAGAGCACTTTCTTGTTTTTGTAGGGCTGTTTCTGTGACCTCTTTGCTCAGTTCAATGCAGACATTGCCCATGTCTGCAGCTGGCTTCTCCTTAGATACCCACACTTGGTTATTAGTTTGAGATGGCTCTTACATCACTTAGTGTCAGGCTGCCGAATGGCAACATAGTAAGGGAGATAAAAAAGAAAGTTCACAGTATAAGATTTGTTTTGAACAATAAAAAGCTTACAAAGAATGACACAGTCTTGGCGAAGAGATACAGATTTGAAAAATGGAAAGGTCAAACAGCCCCCACTTTAAACAATCGCCCTTTCTGCAGAAGCAAGACTGAGAGACAGCCACTTCTACTTTCCTGGCAGCCACCCTTCAGTGCTGATTAAGAAATATTCTCAGTACTGACAGCATCATATTCAGAGCCAAAGAGGGCCAGTCAGCAACATTGCACCAGCACAGAAATGCAAACACCAGTGCAAGGTAGTTTTGCAGTTTGATTTCTAATCTGGTGTCCTCCACAGACCTGGAAGCAGGTGCTGCTCAGTACCTGTTGTCAGCTGCAGGAGAAATTCAGCAATAAGGGATTTGCTCAGTTTCGAGCTGGTTTTTTTCCCTCCTGCTTCTGCTGTGAGTTTGCAAACGGCCTCTCCTTGCACATCAGTTTTCCACAGTTAATGCTGGGTGAGTGCATTAGCTCCTGTTAGTCTCTCTTGCTGGAGTCAGTTGTACTGAGCAGGCAAGATTGGGATATTTTGCTGAGGTGTCTGTCCAGATGTGCCTCTGGAGGAAGCCTCTGACAGGCTTGTCCAGGAGGGATGTTCCAGCTGGGGTGAGCAGAGCACAGGCAGGTGGGTGCAGGATCACAGGACGCTGGAGATGACATTTCTCCTTTCCTCTTGCTGGTGGCACTCCTGCTTTTGGAGAACTGATTCACCTGCAGCTTCCCTTTGGGCCTTTATGGCAGAGAATTATAGGAAAGGACTTTAGGTGGCTGATTCCTAACCTTGTCACTCCTGTCACAGCAATGTGTGCTCAGGACTTGGCTGTTGGTGTGGTTTGGTGATTTAGAGGGACATTCCCACAGGAACTGTCTTCTCTTGCATTTCCTCCCAGCTGCGAAGAGATTGTTTAGACCAAGTAACTATATATATATATATATAATTTATATATATAAAAGTAACTTTTTTTTTCTCCCTATGCCATTGTTTGAGCTTGGTTTTCCAGTGTATGGGAAAAGCCACGCAGCTCAGGCACAGTTAACAGAACGAGAACTCTTTCCCAAGGCTGCTGGGCACAGACAGATCCTGGGATTCGTTTTCATTCCCGGACTAAAGAACACACCCTGTTCTCCTCTGGGTACCCCACAGGGGCTTCTATGGAGTAAGAAGTTGTGGAAGAGGATTCTTGTTACATCTTTCCCACAAACAGAGGCCCCCCTCCTGCCCCATTACCATTCCCACAATTGCACTCATCCAGACTTGCTGCACAAACCTTCCACCAGCAGCAAAGTTGTCTAGAATTGCAGTATGTCTGGAACAGCCCACAAAAGGAGAAGACAGGAGCACAAAAATATCCTGACTACTAAAAGAAATAACGTGGTAGAGCAAGGGCTCCAAGAGTGGTAAGAAAATACCATAAGAAAATTGAAAAGAAAGATTATAAAGTTTTCTGCCATGCAGTTTTATTCTGGCTAATAAATATAATGCTGAAGATAATTCCCCAAAGATCCAGCAGAGCCAGCAAATACAGTAATCTTGAACAGGAGTGGAAAGAGAAGAAACCTGCAACTTTTAATGGAGAAGCCATTCCTTTCCTTTGGGGTGAACTTGCTGAGAAGAGGGAGGGTGTCTGTCTGTCGGCTCTGCAAGTGGCCCTTTTTGAACTTCCCAATTCACAGCCAAGTCCTGGTGCTCTTCAACGGTAAGAGTTTTGTTGTGGTTGGAGGGATAAAAAAATCCCCATTTTTAATAAGATGATTTGCTTTGCAAATGTCTTTGTTATTTATAGCTGAGCCAGACTTTGAACCACTAAGCTCTGGAGGATGAGGGCAGAATCCCACTAAGAAAAACCATTAATGGAGGAACCATGAGTGATCAGAGACCAATTCTGGAAAAAGATGAACTGGACACTGTGCACAGGCTGTCACAGGAGGAATGTAGGTTTGCTGTACGCGGCTGAGCTCATTTCCAGTACTGGCTGATCCACCAAAGGGCTTCAGCTTAGGTTACACAGTCTCCAAGTCTAAAGTTAGTTCCAGGGGTCCAAAATTTTGTCTTCATTTCCCCTGGAAACTACAGACCAGCCAATTTGGTCTTTTGCCTGAGGCTGGAGAGCTGCGTCATGAGCCTGGCCCTGACTGTCAAGCAAATTCAGGCTGGAACGCTCCTTCCTTGGATTAAGTGATGATATTTTTTGTATTTTTCTTTTTC